AAGCAAGCGGACGACGGCGAAGGCGCAGCCGGGAGGCCGGGCCCGGCGGGACGACGCAGGCGGGTTCGAACACAGGCGGGAAGGGGCAGAGGGGAGGCGGCGAGCCTGGAGCAAGCAGGGAGCAGGGAGCCATTGAAGGGAGCAGCGGGATGTGGATGCCATTCCGGAGGGGAAAACAAACATACACACAATTCGTCGTCGATTCCCTGGAAAAGATTAACCGTCGATTCCCTGGAGAAGATGGGAACACATGGGAAATGGGGGGGAAGGACGAGAGCCCAGAAAAGAGGGGAGGACATGCGGACTCCTGGGATTGGTGTTTCTTTCTTGGTGTGCCCCAGGGCCCCCGTTGGCATGGCCGGCGCCAGGATGCTTCCCCGGATGGCTCCTGGGCCCGGCTCCCCTGCCGGGGCGCCCCCCTCGCCCTCCTCGCCCCGTGCGCTCCCGTGCCTCGGGGCTAAGCGCTGCGCCCGCGCGGATTCGGAGCCGGTCGCTCCGGTTTGATCCAGTGGAGGCCCATGCCAAGAAGCACCCTGCTACGCATATTTACGTGCGCTCATATTCGTACTCATACTCCTACTCCTGCTCCTACTCACGCTCATACTCATGTTCGTACTCACACTCGTACTTCTACTCAAACGCAAACTCATACTCATACTCATACTCACACCATACCCAGATTCGTACTCATACTCACACTCACAGTCACAATCACACTCATACGCATACTCATACCCATTATCATATTCTTACTCTTACTCAGAGTCGTACTCATACCCATTCATACGCATACTCATACTCATATTCAAACCCGTACTCATACTCATCCACAGTCATACTCATACGCATACCCATACTCATAGTCGTATCCATACTCATACCCATACTCTGACGCATACTCATGCTCATACTCCTTCTCCTCATGATGCCCCTATTCCTGTCTGCTCCCTTGGGGCCCACACAAGCTCTGGGGCACTTCAGGGCCCTCAGAAAGATCGACGCAGACTGTGCCCCACGACCTCTCACGGCAAGACCTCTCCTCGTGTGTGCCCACCGCACAGTGGAGACCCCTGCCAAGAAGCACCCTGCCTGCCTCCAGGGTGCCCTGGGCTTCTTGGGGTTCCGATGGTTCTGCGGTGGACAAAGCGTGACGTCCCCACACCAGCAGAACTCCATGGACGTCCTGTGGTCTCAGGGCTGGGCTTCTTGTGCGAGGTTCCTGGTGGTCGGGCCCCTGCTGTATCGGTGTCGCCAGGCCCGATCCGTCCTGCTCCCGAGGCTCTGGCGGCCCAAGGCGGCCCGGGGCCTGCATTGGCGCCGCCGTGCGCATCCCGGCGCGGGCGGGGCGAGCTCCGATGGCGGGCTGGGCAGGCCGGTCCGGCGTGCGGTTCCTGAGTCGATCCGAGGTGTCCCGATGCGATGTGGCCTGGTCCTCGACGGAGAGTTGCCTCGACCTCCAGGGTGTCGCGCGTCTGTTTTTGTTGTCTTACTCTCTCTCTCTCTCTCGCTCTCCTCCTCTACCTCTCTCCCTCTCTCCCCCTCGCCTCCCCTCCCTCGCTCTCTCTCTCTCTCTCTCTCTCCTCCCCTCTCACCCTGATAACGGGTCGTGGACCTGGGATTGGATCGACACTCTTGGGATCGAATTTGACGTTGGGTGAGCAGTATGTGGTTTATGCCCTTCGACTTCGCTTTCTCACTTTGAAACTAGAGTTCTTGGCCAACCTATTGCACTCACTTTGTTATCTTTCTCTCTCTCTCTCTTTCCCTATCCCTTGGGCTTTCTTTCGAGACAGGCCTCCTTGGGGCGCATATTTTTTCCAGTTGTCGGTGGAGGCATATTTGCTATCCCCGTTGAAGCACCAGTTGTTGCAGTGGCCCATGGGCTTCTTGGTTTGGGCCCGCAGGGCGTACACCGGCCCACACGGCGTCGTGTCTGGCCCATTTCCCGAGGCAGTGCTGGCACTCAGGGGGGCCTTGCGTGTCCTCCTCGGGCACTTCGATGGGCCCGTCGGGGAGCTTCCGCGCCGCCGTCCCGCACCGCCTCGAGGGTGCCCCGTGCGCCGGGGCGCCTCCGCCGCGGCCTTGCCACGTTGCCGCCCGCGCCGCCGCGTGGCCCGCGCGCTGTCGCCCACGCGGGCGCTCGCGGGCGCCCGCGCGGCGCCGCGGTGGGCCCGCCGAGGCGCTGCCGCGTGGCCCGCGCGCTGCCGCCCACGCGGGCGCTCGTGGGCGCCCGCGCGGCACCGCGGTGGGCCCGCCGAGGCGGCGCCGCGGCGCCGCCGCGTTGCCGCCCACGTGGGCGCACGCGCGTGCCCCCCGTGCGCTGGGCGCGGCGCCGCCGGATATTCACGCCGCACAGCTTGCAGGACCGAGCCTGCGCCACCTACCCAGGCAGGATCGCGTCGTCACAAGAAGATCAGGGCGGGAGGCGTTTGGCCCTCTCCGGCCTCGGGGGGCCCCCGCCGGGCCTCGGGAGCGTCAATCATCGACGCGGGATGCAGAACCGGTGCCGGGGAAAGGGTCGTGACTTCCAGGGGCCCCGTGTGGGAAACAATTCAGGGCGTCGCATGTTTGGGCAGCTTACACTGCATAGGCTTGCACACCGCATAGGCTTACACCACGTAGCTCACACCGCATAGGCTCGCACAGCACAGCTGGCTCACGCTGCTTGTACGGCACGCCAGGCCGCACACCACAGTTCTGTCATCGCATGGCCTTCACCACCACAGCTCAGACCGCACTGCTTACACAACATAGCTGACACCGCATAGCTTCCACCTCCACAGTGTAATCGCTCACTGTTTAGGACCCGTGCTGGCTAACATTTACTTCTCTCATCTGGGTTTGTTTTCCCTCTTGGGTTTGTTTGTCTTTCGTTCTTCATGCCATAGAATTATCATCAACAAGAGTTTAGGTCACACACTTGTCTCGCCGTACTCTTTTCATCCTGACCCTCAGGTGGCCGTCTGCTTTTCTCCATCTCATAACACTCAGAACTTCACTTCCCATGCGCGTCTCCTCCTCCCTCTTTCCCTCCTGCTCACCTTCCTGCTCATCCGCCACCTCCTCCAATGTACGCAGCTCCCTGTGTCCCATTGCGCATAACACGCTAAGGGGTCCTGGTTGGAATTCCAGGTCCGCTATGACACGCGTCGGCGGATAGAGAAGAAACCAGCGCATGTGGGGAGGGATGGGTGGCAGGGCTAGGATGTAAGGCATGGCGCGAGCGCGCCCATCGTGTCGTCCTCCCCTCTCCCCATCTTTCTCCTCGTGGCGTCCTTCCCTTCCCTCTCCCCCCTGTCGTGTCGTCCTTCCCTCCCCTCCCTTCCCTTCCCTCTCGCCCCTGTCGTGCCGTCCTTCCCTCTCCCTCTCCCTTCCCTCTCGCCCCTGTCGTGTCGTCCTTCCCTCCTTCCCTTCCCTCTCGCCCCTGCCGTGCCGTCCGTCCATCTCTCTCTCTCCCTTCCCTCTCGCCCCTGCCGTGTCGTCCTTCCCTCTCTCTCTCTCTCTCCCTTCCCTCTCGCCCCTGTCGTGCCGTCCTTCCCTCTCTCTCCCTTCCCTCTCGCCGCCCCTGTCGTGCCGTCCTTCCCTCTCCCTATCCCTTCCCTCTCGCCCCTGTCGTGTCGTCCTTCCCTCCCCTCCCTTCCCTCTCGCCCCTGCTGTGTCGTCCTTCCCTCTCTCTCTCTTTCCCTTCCCTCTCGCCCCTGCCGTGTCGTCCTTCCCTCTCTCTCCCTTCCCTCTCTCCCTGTCGTGCCGTCCTCCCCTCTCTCTCTCCCTTCCCTCTCGCCGCCCCTGGTCGTGCCGTCCTTCCCTCTCCCTATCCCTTGCCTCTCGCCCCTGTCGTGTCGTCCTTCCCTCCTTCCCTTCCCTCTCGCCCCTGCCGTGTCGTCCTTCCCTCTCTCTCTCTCTCTTTCCCTTCCCTCTCGCCCCTGCCGTGTCGTCCTTCCCTCTCTCTCTCTCTCCCTTCCCTCTCGCCCCTGTCGTGCCGTCCTTCCCTCTCTCTCCCTTCCCTCTCGCCGCCCCTGTCGTGCCGTCCTTCCCTCTCCCTATCCCTTCCCTCTCGCCCCTCCCTCTCCCTCTCCCTTCCCTCTCGCCCCTCTCGCGTCGTCCCTCCCTCGGGGAAGGGGCAGCGACAGGGAGGCACGGGCCCAGGCTCCGGGAGGGGTAGGCCCAGGGAGGGAGAGGCCAGGGGCAGAGGGATGGGCTCAGGGGGGGGGCGCGTCGACCTGTTCCGCCTTCCCCCCCCCTCCCGCTCTGGTGGTGGAAGTCGGTTAATGAATGTCAAGTCGGGCCTGTCCCCCTACAGGGGGATTTTCGACGAAAAATACAAAGATACCCTCAAAATAATCAAAAAGTAATCCATAAATAGTCATGGGACTATTTTTTGAGTATTGTTTGACCTTTTTGGTGTATTGTTGTTGGGTATTTTCTATTTTTCGTCGAAGATCCCCCTGTAGGGGGACACGCCCGACATAAGGTTAATGGAGAGGAAGCGTGCTGCCAAATAATTTCCAGGTGTCTAGCATATGTTTCAGACATGCTTGCAAACATGTAAAACAAGCATGGTCGAAACATTGTCAGAACCCGTTTTACACATGTTACACACCTCTTTCATTCACTGATACGATCGTTCGAGTGTCCATTGCCATGGCATCCACAACGCTCTGGCTCAGGTCAGGAGCCTGGCGAAGGCTGGCAAATCCGTTGCTGCTAACACGGAGCTCCGGGAAACTTGTTTCTGCTTCCGGGAAGCAGCTCGTTTCTTATGCAGCGCGCTGAGGTTTCTTCCAGGGAATTGTTTTTTCCCTTCCGGGAAGACCGTTTTAGCAGCCCTCCCCGCCCTTGGCCTTTCGGCTCACCAGGCCGCCCCCTTGGCCCTGGTGCGTGCCGTGGCGGATTTTGTTCCGCCTGCTGGCGCCCTCCCCCCGCCTTAGGGTGCCTCGCTAAACGTGGCGGACAGAGCGTGGAGCTCAAAAAAACCGTTTTAGCAGCCACGGATTTGCCAGCCCTCGCCCGGCTTCCACTCGGGGCTCGGGGTCCTGGCCCTGCGCCGGCGGCGGCCCCGGGGGCATGCAGGCGGGCGCGTGGACGTGGGCGCACGCCTTCGCCATGGACCTCACGCCGCAGCGCTGGCCCGAGACCAGGCACCGGAGCTGCCTCGAGCACGGCGGTGGCCGGCCAAATGCAGTTCAGAGCGGCCCCTCTCCCAGGGAGATCAAACCATCGGGCTGGGAGAGGGGAGGAGGAAGAGGAGGCGGAGGAGGAGGAGGAGGAGGAGGAGGAGGAGGAGGAGGAGGAGGAGGAGGAGGAGGAGGAGGGGAGAGGAGGAGGGGGAGGAGGAGGGAGGAGGAGGAGAAGGAGGAGGGGGAGGAAGAGAAGGAGGAGGGCGACGAGGAGGAGGGGCTGGAGGCGGCCGAAGGTATCGTGCGTTGCAGCCGAATGCTATTGCTCGTGCCCTGCGTCCTCCCAGCCCCTTCCTCCCCACCCGATGGCTGATCTCCTCACCCGCTGGGGTGACCTCCGGTGCGCGGCTTTCGGCACACGCGGGCCCCCGTTGTCCCAGCGCATGCGGCGGTCGGCAAGCCGCCGCGCCACGATGTGTCTCTCTCTTGGCCCCCAGGGCCGCTTCCTGGCGTGCAGCCGAGGTGATCGCTGAGACTACGGGTCGGGGGCAACGATAGGCGGGGGGTAGGCATACACACTGTTCATTTCACATACTTCGAAAGTTCTTTGTTTTTGCGGGGGCCAAGCTCCTTTCATTTCTAATCGTTCTATCCTGGGGCCAGGAACATTTAGAAACGATCACAATTAGAAATCAGCATGATTAGGAATAAACGACGTGTGGGGGGGATGCATTGACCCCCAATCGCCCATTGGTCGCCGACAGGGGCCCGATAGCCCCAACCTGCCCTGGAAGGTGCGGACTCACCAGCGGAGGCCCAGGTATCGCCAATCTATCGGCGATGTATCGCCGATTCCAGGTCGATGTTCCCCCCCCCCCGATCCCCATCCCTCACCACCCACCAAACCACTCCAACCCAACCCGAAGGCTCAGATTTACCCTCGATCTCCAGTGCGGGGGGGGGGGCCGGGGAACATCGACAAAAACACATGTGGAACCCTAACCCCCCCCAACCCGAAACTCGGGTCTTAGGGTTGGGTAGGGGTGGTCTGATAGGTATCAGGAGGGAAAGAAGCACACAGACACAATTAATCGGCGATTCCCCAGAAAATATGGGAAACTATGGGAAGTGGGGGGGGGAAGACAACAACCCAGAAACTATGGGAAACTATGGGGGATATTTTTATTTGTGTGTGTATCTATTTGTGTGTCCTTAGGCCCCTTCATGGTAGGTATCCAAATCCCCCCCCCCATCCGCTGCGCCTCGACGGCCTCCCCGCCTGGCCACGCTGCGCTCCGCACATCGGCGCCGGCCTCTCCGGCTAGCCATAGCTCCCGGCCCGCGTGCTGCGGCGCGGGCCCGGCCTCTTGGCGACGGGAGGCCTCGGGGCGGCTCAGAGATCGGGGTCGGCAAAGAGGGGGGTGATGATTAGGGGGGGTGGGGATATCATGGCGGGGGCCATGATATCCCCCCCGACGGGGGGACTGCTCGGAAGGGCCCCGTCAGCCGCAGCCGCAGCCGCACCCGCAGCTAGGGGCCCCTGGTGGACCCGGGTGTGCGCTGACCTGGTCAGGGGCCCCTGGTGGACCCGGGTGTGCGCTGACCTGGGTTATCTCGGGGGCGGCAAAGAGGGGGGTGATGACAAGGGGGGGTGGATATCACGGCGGGGGCCATGGTCTTTCCCCAGATCTCATTGCGCCTCTTCTGATTTCAGTACGTCCCTGGTCCCCCCACTGGGCCGCGCACATGCCGCCGGTCTTGATTTGCACCCCCCCCTCCTGGACACCCCCCTCTTGGCCGCTCCCGAAGAGAGGACAGACACAGGACACCAGCCAAACGTACTCGTACTCTGTGTGCGCGTCGCCCCCCCCCGCCCCTCCCTCCAGAGTTGAGTCGGGCGCGTCCCTCCACAGCAGGAGTCTTCAGAAATAGTAAAACGATAGTCTGTGGACGATGATTGCATGATTTGGTTTGGTTATTTTTCTGTATGTTTGACTATTTGAAATTTTCGCCCAAAATCCGCCTGTAGGAGGACCTGCCCGACCTAACCACAGATGCGACGCGCGCGCCGAGAAATCTCCCAGTACGAGCTCCGTGGTGGGCGCTTTCTGGCCGTACCGTTCGGGCAGCGATGCGCTGCAGTCAGGTCGGGCATGTCCCCCTACAGGCGGATTGGGGAGGAAGGATTAAGAAATAGGCAAAACATGTGCAAAAATAGCCAACAATGGTCGACAGATCGGCCGCCGACGAGTTCTGTTTGCCTATTTTTGAGCAGTTCCTCCTGTAGAGGGGGACAGGCCCGACTCAGCACTGCAAGGTGCTCCTGCCGTCCGTTCGGTCCAGGCCTGCGCCTCCGAGGAGCGAGCGCAGGCGGGCCAGGCGCGAAAAACTGCGGAACAGCTTTTGGGCCTGAGTCGGGCCTGTCCCTCAGCAGGGGAAGTATTCAGCAGTTGTCAAAACATACTCAGGGGACGTTTTTTGTTGTGAGTATGTGTTGTTGTTGCTGCTGCTGCTGGTGTTGGTGTTGTTGTTGCTGTTGCTGTTGTTGGTGGTGGTGTTGCTGTTGCTGTTGTTGTTGTCGCTGCTGCTGCTGCTGCTGCTGCTGCTGCTGCTGTTGTTGTTGTTGTTGTTGTTGTAAAGGTTGTTGTTGTTGCTGCTGTTGTTGCTGTTGCTGTTTCTGCTGTTGTTGTGTTTGTTTTTGTTGTTGTTGCTGCTGCTTCTGCTGCTGTTGTGGTTGTGGTTGTGGTTGTGGTTGTGGGTGTGGTTGTGGTTGTGGTTGTGGTTGTCGTGGTTGTGGTTGTGGTTGTGGTTGTGGTTGTTGTTGTTGTTGCTGCTGCTGCTGCTGCTGCTGTTGTTGTTGTTGTTGTTGTTGTTGTTGTTGTTGTTGTTGTTGTTGTTGTTGTTGTTGTTGTAGTAAACAAGCAAAACAAAAGCGACACACAATCGCCCAACCTCCGCCTGTAAGGGGACATGCCCGACTTATACTTGGGCTCGGAAGGGGCCCGATGTTCCGTAGGTCCTTCCATGGCGGTTCCTCCAGCCCTCCTCGTGCACCCAGGCTCCACTGCTGCCATGAAGGGCCTCCGTCCCCTGTTCAGCGCTCTCCCTAGCTCGGCAGCACGACTGCAGCACTGGCATGCCCTCCTGCGCCCCGAGCCGAAGCCTCCCGGAGGGCCGCTGGCGCCTCGTTTGGCCACCCTCTCTGGCTCCGAGGTGACCGCCTGGAGCTCCGGATCGCGGAGAGCCCGGCCGCGGGCTTCGGCTACCAGGTCGGGGGCGCACGCGAGGGAGCGGGAGGGGGAACTGGGAGGGAGGAGGCCTTCTCAGAGGGCGGGTGGGCTCCTCAGAAGCCCGGCCGAGGAGTTTCTCGGTGCCTTCGGGGGAGGCTATAGGAACCTTTCCAGGTGGCCAGGGGACTGCCGAGCCTCTGGGGAGGGCCCGCCCCCTCGCGCACTTGCTCCCCCGGGCTGGCCGCCGACCGGGGGTCGGCCAATCCCCTCTGGCTGACCCGGGCATCCCGGACCCACTTCGGGCCTTGAAGGCATCGTGGTGGCAGGTGTGCCGCCAGTTTCGGCCCCTCGTGGCCCGTATACTTTTGGCGGGGAGCGCTTGGCTTTGGGGGGGCGTACACGCTTCATCTCGCGGGGAGCGTCTGGCTTCTTCGCAGCAGCGTCTGGCTGCATGTAGTTGTCTCGCACCTGATCAGCTACCCGGCCTCCCCGGAGGCCAGCGCGTTTGGCGCGCCTGCCGCCCTTGTAGGGTCGCCGGACTCCCGGCGTCGGCAGCCTCGTTCGTTCGTTCGTTTGGGGCCCGCACTGCGCCTCGGGACCGTCAACAGAAGCACAACGAGTCAGGATGCAGCAACAAAACGGCCCTGGAGAGTGGGCCCCGACCGCTGGGGGCCCACGCCGCGAAGCGTTCTCATGGCCTCGGGGGTCTGGCCTGTGGGAGTCCCGCGGGGGGCCCACTCTCTCCCCCCCTGCCTGCCTGTGCTCCCCCGGCCCGGCTTTAGAGGGAGCTGCTCGGCGGCTGGCCTGGCTTTGCGACAGGGCCCTGGCGTCATGTCGGGCGTGTCCCCCTACAGGGGGATTTTCGACGAAAAATATAAAACCCTAGAAATGCACCAAAAGGGTACAAAAATACACCTAAAAATAGTCCCCAGACTATTTTTGGGTTATTTTTTGTTTATTTTTGAGTATTTTTTGTTTTTCGTCGAAAATCCCCCTGTAGGGGGACAGGCCCGACTTAACCCTGGCGCGCGCTGGGCTCGGGAGGTCTCCAGGACCGCCCCTCGGCGCAGCCAACGTGTGCGTCCTTCGGCCGTGCACCGGCGTCGCCGCCGCGGTGCGCGGCGGGAGCCCCCCTTTGCAGACCGCCCAGCAGCTGCCGGCACCATCCTGCACCCGACGGGGGGGTTGCTCGGCTTAAGGGCACCGCGGGCCGCACCCGCAGCCGCACCCGCAGCGACGGGCCCCTGGCGGACCCGGGTGTGCGCTGACCTGGGTTAATGGAGGATGACGATTAATAAATGACCAGTGGTCGTGTTCACGCGGCGGCGCCCGGGATGACGATTAGAAAACAAACCGGCCGCGGGCTGGATAACTATATATATATATATGTTTAATCGTTCTCCTCCAGTCAGAAAATTATGCAGAAATTGCAGAAAGCTATGTTTTAAACCGTTCTCTCCAATTGTTTTATTTATCGTCATCCCGCATTATCATGGCGCCCCCCCCCATCAGCCAGAGAGGTGAGCGGCCGAAAAACATGTGGCCGCAAACGTGTCGAAGAATTGTAACCGCAGATCGTATTGGTTTCGAAGCAAGCATCCCAGTCCCATTCGGGCGCGGCCAGAAGACTTCGGCCGCCAGTTCCGGTCACACACGGGCAGATTTTCGGGTACAGTTTCGGTCACTGCACTCTCCGTGATAGCGACGAGGCCACAGTCGAGCATCTGATTTGGAGACATCCTCCCGAGAAGCTGGGCCAGCGTTTCTGAACCAGCTTGCCGGAAAGCCGGCCCAGTTTATGGAGCACGCTGGCCCGGGCTGATTTCCATAAATTGAAGTGAATTTCTGTGCTTGATCAAACTTTCGGTTGTATGTTAGGGTCAGTCCCAGACATGCGACGCCCTGTTTTTTTCAATGCGGGGTCCCTGGAAGTCTCAACCCTTTCCCCGGGATTAGTTTTTCATCCAGAGGCCTGGCGAGGGCCCCCTGAGGCCGAAAATGGCCCAAATCCTCCCGCCCTGATTTTTCGAGGAGGAAAGGGAGCAGAGGAGGAGGAGGAGGAGGAGGAGGAGGGGGAGGAGGAGGAGGGGGAGGAGGAGGAGGAGGAGGAGAGGAGGAGGAGGAGGAGGAGGAGGAGGAGGAGGAGGAGGAGGAAGACGAGGAGAGGAAGGCGAGGACGAGGACGAGGACGAGGAGGAGGAGGAGAGGAGGAGGAGGAGGAGGAGGAGGAGGAGGAGGAGGAGGAGGGGTGGATTTCCACGACGCGATCGTGTCTGGGGTGCGTCCGCGACCAGGTCTGGCACGCCTCGAGGGCGCTCTGCTGCCACCTGGAGCTCCGCGAGAGGCAGCGGGGCTCCGCCGCGGCCCGCGGCCCCGCGGCGCCGCCCTGCCGCGGCCGGCGGGCGCTGGAGCTCGGCGCGGGCTGCGGCCTGGTGGGCCTGCTGCTGGCCAAGTGCCCCGTGGTCGGCCAGCCCACCGAGAGTCGACCGGAGGAGGAGGAGGAGGAGGAGGAGGAGGAGGAGGAGGAGGAGGAGGAGGAGGAGGAGAGGAGGAGGAGGGAGGAGGGAGGAGGAGGAGGAGGAGGAGAAAGAGGAGAGGAGGAGGAGGAGGAGGAGGGAGGAGGAGGAGGAGGAGGAGGAGGAGGAGGAGGAGGAGGAGGAGGAGGAGTCGGTCGGAGAAGAACACTCGTCCGAGGCGGGGATTTCTGCATGACCACCGCCTGGAGGGTGCGTTTTCGGAGCCTCGGCAGGCGGTGGATATGGACATATTCTGGCCCCCAGGGGCCAAACTATATTATATCCATATCCACTGCCCGCTGGGGCACCAGTACGTCGGTTCCCAGGCGGTGGATGTGGATAAATCCCCGCCTCTCAATCAGGGAGAAGGGGCTCCTTCCTGCAGACGTATCGAACCAAACCGCTCAAAACTGTTACCACTAATGCGAAGACGGGGACCTCAGTGAGGCCACGTCTTCATCGTGTCATTCGGGTTATGGGTTGTTTTATTCTTGATGACTCGATGAGAAGGGGAACAACGGGAAACAAACGCCATAAGCATAAGCTTCTGGCGCTCCGCGCGGACTTCTTGCATCTGCGCTGGGGCCCCCCCAGGCGGCGCCTCTGGCGCCGCCCCTGGCGCGCTCCGCACGCCAGGGAGGGGAGTCAAGCGCAGATCCAAGAAATCCGCGCGGAGCGCCAAAAGTTCATGTTCATGGCGTTTTTGTCCGCCTATTTCCTTCGAGTCGAGTCATCAAAAACAAAAGGACCTTAATCATAATAACACGATGAAGACGTGGCCTCGCTGAGGTCCCCGTCTTCGCATTAATGAGAACAGTTTTGAGCGGTTTGGTCCGATACGTCTCCCTACTGTTCTTGGCCCTCCTAACTGAGGTCCCCTCCCAAAGGGTTAGGTTTTTTGCTAATCATCGAGACCTCCCAGATCCGAAGAGCACAGAACTGCATAACCATACCTGTTCGAAGCTCCGCGCTGATTGCTTGGGTCTGTGCTGGAACGCCTTGGTGGCGCCTCCGGCGCGGCCCCTGGCGCGCTCCGCGCGAGGAGGGCCGCTCCAGTTGCTCCTGGGCACCCTCGTTCCGCAGGGCCCCTGGGTTCCGGCGTCGCGACAAGAGTTTTTAGCCCCATGCGCAAGCACGACCCGAGCCTCCACCTTCCTGCACGATTTTTTTCCCGAGCCGACTCGAGCTGCGAGGGCCACAGGGCCCGAGGTGGGCCGAACAAGAGACGCCCGGCACGACAAGATGAGGACGCCAGGGTCTCAGGGGGAGGAGGAGGAGGGAGGAGGAGGAGGAGGAGGAGGAGGAGGAGGAGGAGGAGGAGGGAGGAGGAGGGAGGAGAGGAGGGGGATGAGGTGGAGGAGGAGGAGGAGGAGGAGGAGGAGGAGATGAGGAGGAGGAGGAGGAGGAGGGAGGGGGAGGAGGAGAGGGGGAGGAGGAGGAGGAGGAGGAGGAGGAGGGAGGAGGAGGGAGAGGAGGAGGAGGAGGGAGGAGGAGAGAGGGGGAGGAGGGGAGGAGGGGGAGGGAGGAGGAGGAGGAGGAGGAGGAGGAGGGAGGAGGAGGAGGAGGAGGAGGAGCAGGAGGAGGAGGAGGAGGAGGGGGAGGAGGAGGAGGGGGAGGAGCAGGGGGAGGAGGAGGAGGAGGAGGAGGAGGAGGAGGAGGAGGAGGAGGAGGAGGCGGGGCGGCCTGCCCGACCACGGGCCGAGCTGGGCGCGGACGTGACACTCACGGATCTGGAAGAGGTCACGCCGATCACCCGCCACAACGTGAGCCTGAACCCGCCCCTCGCTGCGGGCGAGGGCCGCGTGGACGTCGCCGCGCTACGGTGGGGGACCGACGTTCGCCGGGAGTTTCGCCGCGGCGAGTTCGACCTGATCGTCGGCTCCGACCTCACGTACTCCCCAGACCTCCTCGGGCCATGCCAAAAACACGGCGGGAGGTTTTTCTCAAGTCTCGACTGCTGGGGGCCACCACTGGTAAGTCGGGCTGGTCCATCTACAGGAGGAGGAGGAATGTTCAAACATAGTAAAAAAATGATATGGGGACGATTTTCCGTATTTCTGAACATCTTCGGAGTATTCTTTGTCTATTTCAAATTTTTCGTCGAACACCCGCCTGTAGGAGGACATGCCCGACCTAACACTACTGGGCCTTGGGAATGCCAGAGAACGACTCGGGACGGGAACAGCCGGTCCCGGGGGAAGGGTCCAGACCGCTGCGGGTCCTCGTCATGAAGCAATCGTGACGTCGGCGGTCTTGGTGAATGGCGCGGGCCGTCGCACCCCCCCCTCCCCCCATGGAGTGGATCTTGGCTGTTTTTTGGCGCCTGTTTCAGGCAGGTGGAGTGCCTCCCCTCATAGGACTCACTGCTGCAAACAGTAGCACTAAGCAGAGGTCGGGAGCCAGACCCCCCCCCCTCCCCCCCCCCTTCCTCCCAATGTTGAAACGCCGAATATAGAAAAAACGCTCACTTGGCTCCGCATCCCCTCGGGGGGGAAGACAAGCCTCGAGGGGAAACAAGCAGAAGCCACTACCCGTTGGAGGGGGGAACAAAAACAAAGCCACGAACCCTCAGAGGGGGGAGCACAGGAACCTCGAGGGCGGGAAACAAAAAGCCTCGAGGGGGAACAAGCAAGCAAGGCACGACCCCTCAGAGTGGGGAAAAAGCCACGACCCCTCAGAGGGGGACAAGCGAACACGCCTCGAGGCGAAAACAAACACTCCTCCGAGGATCTGCACGCGCCCTTGCTGGCCACGCTGCTCCAGCTGATCGGCGCGGAGACAGAGGTCATGGGTTTGTTTTCCACCACCACCACCACAAGTTGGAGGGGGGAAGGAGGTGAAGGATGAGGGGGAGGGGGAGGAGGAGGAGGAGGAGGAGGAGGAGGAGGAGGAGGAGGAGGAGGAGGAGGAGGAGGAGGAGGAGGAGGAGGAGGAGGAGGACGCTGCCTCCTCCCCTCGCCTGTCAGGCTATGCCCTGTGCCCAAGGCCCTGGACAGGTGGAAGTGTGTTATCCCACCGCCTGATGGTTTCGTCCATGGAAAGATGTGTTCTGATGGTTCGGCTCTGGAGCCCCAACTCAGACATTTTAGTAGAGCGGGGTGGGCTTTTACAACGGTAAGTGACGCTGGAGATATCCTTGCCCGCGCTCACGGCCCGCTGCCCCACCCGCTCCAGGACAGATGCGGTGCTGAATTATATGCGGCGCTCATGATTTTGAGGAACTCGGGCCCAGGAGAAATCCTTCTGGGGGTGGACTGCCAGTCCTTGATTGACGTCTGGGCCCGAGGTCTCCATCATAATGTTTGTGACATCCCTTTCGGAGAACTCTGGGAGGAGGTGTTGTCTAGGGCGCGTGATCGTGGAGAGGGCCAAACGGTGCTCTTCAAGGTTCCGCGCACAAGTCCAGGTGGAAGGCGGCCGCCTTGGGTTGCCCAGCGTGGGCCTGGCACGGCAACCAGGCTTGCGACTTCCTCGCCCGCGAGGCGGCTTCGAATGTGCCGCGCAGTAGCTTCCTCCAGCAGCGGGAGGAGAAGCAGGCCGAGTGGCTCACCTCTCTTGCCCTGTATACAGATCTTGTGCTCGGCCATCTGTCTCGGAATCGAATTCAGGATGCTGAACCCATTAGAGCCAAGGGCCGCAGTAAACCCTCGGACATTCTCATAGTGCCAGATCCCAACGGTCATGAGATCAGGCACTGTGGGAAGGGTTTTTCTTGTCGTGTTTGTTTTTCTCGGGAGCGCACGTATACGGCCCTGGCTTTAACCCCGTGCACTGGCTTGCCGAGAATCGTGCGTCAAACCCATTCCAGCCACATGCTCTGGGGAGGGATTGAGTCCAGTGCAGGATCTCGAATGTATTGGTGTGATTGGTGCGGGAGGTTCGGGAGAGCGAAAGTCCTTGGTCTCGGGAAACTTTGTAATCGTCACCCAGAGAATAAGGATGCCGACGTCTCCCTAGGCCTCCTTGAGCGAGGCATCGATCCCAGCACCAAGCGTTTCTTCGGTCGTAGCATCCCCATAAAGAGGTGATGAGGGTTGTTTCGACCCCGACCCCCCCCCGAATCTTCTCTCTCTGCTGCTGGTCTCACGCCGTGGGATCTGATGGCGTGAAGGCTGAAAGGCTGAAAGGAGGAGGACGAGGAGGAGGAGGAGGAGGAGAGGAGGAGGAGGAGGAGGAGGAGGAGGAGGAGGAGGAGGAGGAGGACCCCCTCCGCCTCGCACTTGTGCTGGCGCTGGTGGGAGACGAGCCCACCAAGAGGTGCCCGCCGTCGAGGGGCAACGGGACCCCCTGCCTGCTGGGGCGGGAGCCGGCCCTCGACCCTCGGGGCTCGTCCCCTCTCGGGCCCCCCCGGGCCTCGAGAGGGCCTCGTCCCCCTCCCCTCCTCCTCCTTCTCTCCCCCTCCTCCTCCTCCTCCTCCTCCTCCTCCTCTCTTCCCTCTTCCTCCTCCTCCTCCTCCTCCTCCTCCTCCCTTCTCCTCCTCCCTTCTCCTCTCCCTTCTCCTCTCCTCCTCCTCCTCTCCTCCTCCTCCTCCTCCTCCTCCTCCTCTACAATTGCTCAATGTGCATACTACTCTCCCTCTTCCCCTGATGACGTGCTGGGAGTGTTCGCCCCCTCCCCGCGTCCTGCTTTTTAACACACAGGATTCCCGGGAGTTGGGTTTTCGCTTGCATTTTTTCAAAATGCTGCTCTCGCTGAGGCGCCGGCCTCATTTTCGTGCTCCCGCTGCAGCGTGGGTCTCATTTTCGGATCGGTGTTTTGCCTCCGTCGTTCACGATGGCGTTCTCGCCCCAGCGCGGGCTTCTTTCTCGCGCGCACATCCGCCCGCCACCACCGCACCGCGCCCCGCCCCGCCCGCCGCCACTTCCGCCCACCAACGCACGCACGCACGCACGCACGCGCACCGCCACCACCACCCCACTACCCCACCCACCACCACCACGCTACACCGCGTCACACCACATCACACGCGCGCGCACACAGACACGCACG